GCAATTTATGTGCGTGTATGAAATCTCAATGGCGTTGAGCATTTAGTTTAATACTCTCTAGTTTGTGCTGCGTGCATATTTCTAAAAAGTATTTACATACATAAAAAGTTTTGTGCTCCTACATTTCATTTTCGTTTGATTGTTGAGCATTATGAATATAAAAAAAAAGAAAGAAAACAACCATAATTAAACTTGTATTGTATGTATGTATTACGAGTAAATAGTTGCTTATATTAATAATAAAGTTAATTGAAACAGTATGCGAATTTGCCTAATTCTTTAGAAAGTGCGGCTCAAAAATTAGGAACTAGCGGAGGAAGGTGTAAATAATCATCTTGAATGCATTTGGGAGTTGATTAAAAAATCAACTTATCCAACTTGAGTTAAATCGTTTCGAAAGCGAAACATTACAACGTACATTTGTTCGCTATAGTGCTTATGCCGGATTTCGAGCATTGAAATGAAAAAATTTAATCGACCTTAACGTGAATTCCATTTGAACCAATATTTTTTCCCAAAAATTATAAAGTAAAACACAAACATTTTTTTCCAATTTGGTTTTGTTTTGCCTTTTTAATTAAGGTAGTGATTTATTCATATGGAATTAACGATAAGGCTGAATGAGAATATTGGTTATTAAGGTAGTACCCGGGGTAAAACGCTAAACGCACGGTTTTAATGTCCAAATTGGAGAAATTTTGGATTTTTTTTGTTTTTATAACGAAAATAATTACTTAAACACAAAGTATACTTAAGTTTGTATAGTAATCTCATTAGGTGCATTATTCATTAATCTTCGCAGAAAAGTGAATTTTATATGACCATTGAAGTCGGTTATATTTTTTGTTTAAAAGTTACTCACCACTGCACTTTCTTCCCTCATTTATCAATTGAAATAATCTCATGGCCTTGTATATAATTTAGATGCAATTAAGCAAAAAAATTGGTTCAGTTGAAAGATTTTGGGATGCAAGATTTCTAATTCATATTTGATTTTTTTTTTTAATTTATTTTACATGAAGAATTTTCGATTATAGCTCAATTTAGCTGTCTGTGGGACATACCTTAAGCAAAAAAAGTAAAAATCCACAAAATCCAACTTAGGCGGCATGAAATCGACCAACTCAAATTTTTTCGGGTCTGTTCTGATATTTCCTTTAAGCCTTATTTCGTGAATTTGATTAAAAAATTATGCTAAAATTAAAAAAATTAGTTAAAATAAAATAAATGGACAACGCAATGTACTAAACAATGCAACAACAAATATAATTTTATTATAGAAGCCCAACATGCTAGGGTAAATGAAGCACTTTTGGTCAAAATTTATCCAGCTAGGAAGTACACAAGATGTCGTATTTTCACAAAGTTATAACGCTTTTAATGGCTAAAGATATTTGTAAGAGAGTTCCAACCAGAAAACATTTTTAATGATGTTACTACATTATTGCTGTTATGACAGCTTGTGAAGCCCGCAGGTATTTCCTCTAGTTTGAAGTTAAATATGTAGCAAAAAAAAACGAATAATTGGAGTCAGCTATCTAAACCATTACATATGATAAATGATATGATAAAATAGCAATGAAACGAATAATTATGGCGTCAGCTTAGAATAAAGATTAAAAAAAGTAATTGAAATAGTAAAAAAAAAATATTAAAGTGGAAAATGATAAAACAATAATGCCGAGTTTCCACTAGGCATTGAAATGGCTAAACATAAGTGAGTCTTAGTAACTGTTATTTTCAACTAAAATACGTGTACTATTTAATGTCCAACCTTGTCATTTTTTTTATCGTTTTAAGGCCGACTGAAAATTCGGCTTAAATAAATTGAATAAACAAAAAAAATATAATTAAAGCAAAAAAAAAGAAAAATTGTCAAGAATTTTGAAAAGTAAAGCTAATTAAGCGTTCATACTTATACTAAACTTTTATGCAGTTTCATTGAGGTTTTAGTGCTTTATTAATTTTTTTTTGTNTAGAAAAATTTAATTTTCTCCATATCTTACAATGTACTAAGTACTAAAGCGCAATTATAAGTAATAGGTACAGGTACATTTTACTATAAACAAAAAAAAACATACATCGGTGTCCATAAAAAATACTCACCAATCTAGTCACATTTAAATTATATACACAAATAAAAAAACGCGGGGGGGGGGTTACGAAAAAAGTTAACAACTTTTACATTTTAGAAAGATATAAAAACGTTAGAAGAAAATGCCGACAGTTTGCCTTAACTGTTTTCGATGTGCTTTTGCACACAACTGTGCAATTATGCCAAGGAAACGAGCGACACCGAAATGCTGGGGGCTGAGAATAAAATCCATAGAAAGCATAAAAATGATGTCATTATAAGAAGGAAATAAAAAAAATACAAATGATAATAAAATAGCTAAAGAAAATACTGCAAAATACTCGATTAAAAAAGTTTAAACGAATGCGTACAAAAACTAGTAGTTCTGTTGATAAAGTGCGGTAAATGACAAGAGTTAATTTTTAATTATACATACGTAGATACATACATAAATATGCATAATAAATGTGAAAAAATATAGAAATTGCGCTGAAATTTATTTATAAAACTTTGAGAGCAAAGTATATTATTCAACGTATGTAATTTAAAACTTGTTGGAAAAAAGTAGTAAAGGGCGCAAATAATATGACAAGCTCCACTTTATTCGCTGCAAGCCATTCAAGGAAGTTTGCAACCTTAATACACCAACCGCTACTACATAACATCCAAGTCACACTCTTTAGTTTACAGTTTACAGCTGGCATAACCATCACAGCAAATACAATTCCTATGATACCACATAATGCTCGGTTCACACCTACATAAACATACTTACATTACTCATGTAATTGCCACTAATGGGTCTACAAAACAGAATGTTTGATAACAATCAGAATAGACCTGTAAATTGAAAGTTAAATTTTTGTGGGCTTCTGCTTTGAAGCCAACTTAATTAATAAGTGAAGATAATTTTGTCTAAAACAACGCACTTGCAAATAAATTTGCGCGTGAAACAGTGTTTGTATACACATAAGCGGTAGTACATTACTAAAAATAAAGAAACAGCGGAAAAATAAGCATACAAATGTTATAAATAGAATATATACTTAAATACAAATGATAAATACATTAAATAAAAGCCATTAATTTTTCTTGTTGAAAATAGCAAGTTTTGGTAAAATCGATGATCATCTTTTTTTTGGCGATTCTTTAAATCGTGATCTGCTCCACAAATTTTGAATTCTTTTTCCACTGAAAAAAATATACGTTTTTTTTGGGCACAAAATTAGGTTGAGAACTTAGCCAAAATTTTTTAATAACTTCGACGTCACACAATCAAGTACTTGCTTTCAAGTTTTAATACACTTACACCTTTTACTAACACAGTTGCATTTTTAGGTATACGAATTTCTAAAAGTTCTAGTGCGTTAGATTGTTTAAAGTGAATCTGATTGCATATTAAGCTTTAACGTACAAACTTTAAAAATTTTCACACAAAAATCTGTTAAAACGTAACAGATGTTTCTTTCTAAAACAAAATCTGACTATGCTTGGACCCCCAAAGAGTTTTTTTAAATTGCTTTTAGCACAAAATTATAATGTCGGACTTACCTTTGCCATTAAATGACAAAAGTTGTTATAACAAAGTTTGGCATTAAAAATATTTTTAGAGGTGCGTACTGCCACTCCGTAGGACCTGGGTTCAATCCCTGATCCGAGCAACATCCGGACAAACCTCCGAGTATATTTCTGACATGAAAAAGCTTCTTATAAAATCCATTTGCCGTTCGGAGGCGGCATAAAACTGCAGGTCCGTCCATTTGTGCTATAACATCAAGGCGCACACAACAAATTGAAGGAGAAGCTGGCCAAATACTTGGCAAAAAGTAAGCGCCAAAAATATTATTTATTATTACTTAAATAAAAAGAGTCATTAATTCGTCTCATTGCATTTTAAGTGGCCAAATTGTTTGTCATTTCCTAGTCGAAATCCAGCCTAGTGAATATAATGACCACTTTTTATTAATCTAATGGCAAGAGGAATATTTAATGCCCAAACATTTGCATTAAATTTTTTGTCATTTAATACCGAGTGGAAATCTGGTATTAGACTACTAGCAACTTATTAAATATATGTAATATCCTATCTATTTACTCAAAATGTCCTGGATTTATAGGCATTCTTTTTTTCTAAAAATTCTAATTACGCTTTACTTTAAAAAATGTGCGCAAAAATTCCAATCAAATCAAAATTCTTGTATGCTACAATATTCATAACTTCTTTTATCAACATTTTTGTAGAAATTGTTTAAATTGAAGCTATTTTCATTTTTTTTTTTGAATTGAGAATTTCTAGTTATTGATGAGATGAAAAAAAAATAAATAAAAAAGTAAACAATTATCAGTTTGCGAGAAGAGTCACTCAGATATAAATTTGTGCTTCACTCTATTCCTACCTTCGATACTTTCCACTTTCAAAGAAATCAATAGCGATTGAACAGTCTGTGATGCGGTGTAAACTCGCCCTAAGCAAAGTCATTTCACTAGCACGACACATCATTCATAAAAATAGCATCACTAGATTTTTGCATTTGAAAATAAAATACCATCTTTCGCTCATATTTAGCATAAGAGGTAAAAGTATAAAAAAAATTTAAAATCCGATTTGCCGCTTGCCTATTTAGTGTCTAGAAAACACATATCCTTTTTTGGTGCTGGTCTCTTTCTCTATTTACCTAACGTTACACGCTTCCACAACAAAACACTGTAAATTGTCCAATTAGCCAAGGTGAGTTTTTGCTTTAACTTATGAACTGTCTATGTAAAATAGTTATAAAATTAATTATTTTACCACTTTTTGCAATTTTATGACTAATAATTCTATATTCTTATGCTCTCTTTACGCTCTCCATTTATTTCTAAATTTTTAATTTTTTTATTTAATTTTCTTTGTTTTGCTTTTTTCTCTTGATTTGCCTCCTTACAGTCGCCCGGTGCCGAATGCGCCACCCAAGCTGCCAGAACGACCTTCATACTATGGCAACACTACAAATGGACGTCCATTTTGAGGAGGCATACAAAATGGCGGCTGTGCCATGTAGAGGAACTCGTGTCGTACGAGTGGATTCCACCGCTTTTGTTGGTGTTCGTATACAACAATATTAGACTTAAAATATTAACAATAGAAAAAACTAAAAAAGAAAAATAATATTAAATCGATAACAATGACAAACACACGCCTGATTAAACTAAGTGTTTAGTTAAAGAATGGAAACGAAAAATTTAAATGTAACACAAAAAAGCGACCATTTTTTTCGAGTATTTTTTTTTGTTGCCCGAATTTTGTGAATGGACCAGAGCGATGGCACAATTTTGTTGTGAANTTGAATTGNTAATGTNAAAATGGGCAGTTTTTCTTAAAAAAAAAAAAGACCACAGGTTTCGTTCAATTTCAGATAGTCAAGTCCCAGATTCCAAATTTGTTATGAATTGTTCTCGAGAAGTGCCTAAATTAGTGAGATTTCGCCGTAAAAATTGCTTTAAAAAAATTAAATCTCCACTTAAGTGACTATCCCAAATTTTAACCTTACCTTATTTATAACTGCTGGCTCGACTCAAATATGCATAAATGAAATTTTGGATAAAATGTCAATTAGCTTTCGAACATGGCGTAAAAATTTATTAAAATAAAATTTCTTACAAATATGTAAATAATAACAAAGTTACCTACGTAAAATTAAAAATAAATAGGTATTAAAATGTGTTCGAAAGTTATGTAGATGAATAGATATGTAGCTAAGTTTTGGCAGCTCTCCTCTTACCCGTTTCCCCAGCGAAATTTGTAGTTTCCCAATTCTTTGTAAATATTTAAAAAAACAAAAAAACATACAAAAACTTCGTATAATTGTTAGCAGACCAAAACGTGATGCAAATGGTTTAAGTATTTTTTTTTTATTAAAAAAATCTATTCAACTCTTATTTTATAAATGCTGCAATTAGTGTAAGCACTTAAAATATAAAAAAATAGTATAAGTATTGTAAACATAACAGTCATGCTAAGTTGTGTATATTTAATAAAACGATAAGTACATAAAATAATGCTTAAATTAAAATAAATTAATAAAACATTTTTAAAAATATAAAATTTTCCGATTTTTATGCTAAAAAGGTCTTAAGTAAGTAAGTTGCACTTAACTGAAAAGTTTTGTAAATTGCAAAATTTCAGTTTTCAAAAAATTCATTTTCATCTGAGTCGCTCTGTGTTTTCATCGCATTTATTGTCGCCCTGTGCCGAATAAAAACGCCTAAAAGTAGGCATCACTTTGGTCGCCCGCTGACAGGCAGCCGAATTTGTCAACAGGCCAGAGCACCAGGCGCGCAGCACCGCCCAGCAGCTGTCCGCCACATGTTGCATGTGATGCACAACAATGTTGCTAAAAGCGCAACTCAGCTACAAATGTTTATTTGCGCATAACTAAGGCAAATCTGCACCGATTTGAATGATTTGGGTGTCATATGAAAGGGAAGAGCGCAACGATGATGCTGCTGGAGTTGAATATGCTAATATTCGAATTTTCGAGTTGCTTTTAAGCAAGTAAAGGCGCGTGTCTCAAGAGTGCAAGTGTGTTATTAGGAAATCATTTGTATACATTTTTTTAAAGTCGATTGAAACTCCGACCATATTTATTACAATTTTTTCAAAGGAATTTTTTTTAACTATTTTTTCTAATAAATAATATAAATAATAATAAAAAAAAAATAAAAAAAATAAAATTTTTCTAATTTAAACGGAACTTGATTTTATTTTCTAGGTGCTTTGGTTAGTTTCAATTTATTCCACGCCACAATTTTAAGTTGTCACCACTTATTAATAATTAAAACAACTCCTGTTTTTAGGGTTTTTAGTTTTTTTATTCATCTGTATCTACCATTCAGAGTGTGGATCTCGGGTATACATTTTTTCGCACTACACAACTTACATGCATACTTTAATTATTTATGTATGTATATGAGATTTTGGTTATGTGCTTATTTATCTTAGTCGCATTTTGTGTTTTCTTTTTTGCTTTGTTTCTTGCTGTAAGAATGTTTCACTTTCTTTTTATAGTTAGACCATTAATTGCTCCAATGCGCTTAATTATATTGCACAAACTTGTTTTACTATTATTTTTTACATGTTTTATGTATTATTTTACATACATATTTTATTTTTTATAATATTTTTGAATAGTGATATATTTTAATTAGTATTTTTTATAACAGTATCTTCTAAATAATTGAAATTATGTCGGATAACAATAATACATATGTAGTATAAAGTAGTAACAATAGTGATATAAACTCAAATATTTAAAACAAATATATTTATTGTATAATAGTAAATACATATTGTAGTAGTTTTGTTAGAACATAATTGTGGTTATATGTAATAATAAATATAATATATATATTGCATTTAAATAGTGTGTTCTTTATATGTAAATAGCAAATTAATAATGAATTT